CACTTCATTATTCACATTTCAAAACTGTGTACATAAAAACAATAGACAGAAAATGATCCATTAAAAGAATAACTTTTATCATAAAACTATTTTAGTTTTTATGCTGGCTGGAACAAGACAGTCTTACTCGTGCACCTGAGGTTCATCAAGGAAGCAGCCTCAGTTGGGAGAGAACTCAATAGGCTTGAGCCCACTAAACTATTAGGAGGTTTGGAGCAAGGTGCCACCAGTAAACTGATGGTAGCCAACTCTCTTTCTCTGTAACATCTGAAGGCCCTGGACTGGTGTCTGGATGCAGTGGTGGGTTGGATGAGGGCTAACAAACTGAATGTGAATCCTGGCAAGACCAAGGCTCTGTGGGTGAGTGGCTCCCAGGTCTGGGAAGTCAGTAAGTTGCCTGCCCCAGATAGAGTTTCTCTCTCCCTGAATGTGAAGGTCCACAGTTTGGAGGTGCTCCTGGATTCAGTTTTATCACTAGTGATGCAGTTGCATTCAGCACCAGATGGTGAGAGAGTTTGTTAGGGAACATAAAGTGGTGTGTGGTTGCACAGCTGCCATTGTGCAAGCATATGGGTCCTGAGTGAATGGCTGTGTCAGTAAGAGCACAACCTATTAACTTTATCAGAGGGACCATCTATTCAATAATCATGCACTTGCATTGGGCTGGCTGCAGGACCCAATGCTTTCACTGTTGCCTTCTCAAACAGAAAGGCAGCAGCAGGATGATGTCTCCCCTTTATCACTACAGAGTGACAAACAGCAGCTCTGCCTAGTGAGAGAAGACGTGAGAGAAAATGTGGAACCCATATGGTCAGAGAGGCATGGGACTTCAGAATGTGAGTTATCATAGCATCTAATCTCCCTTAATCCAGTGCTAATGTGCTTGTGTGGCTATCAGGGTTTACTGTCACAAATTGTAAATGGGCCACTGTTTTTTGGAACAGGAATGAAAGGCAAACCATCTTTTTCATATTCAGCCGTGAAGGACTATTCATGGTCTATGATTATAGAGCACCTGACTTGGCTTGCATTATAATGTGAATCCATACTTAGTTGCTCCTTTCAGTTAAAGCCCCAGCTAGTTTATTTTCTGTGCTCTACCATAAATGCTCTAGAAGACTTTCACCCTGAATTTTCGGTTTACTCTACTTTTTTCAAGAAAAACAATTTTAGAATAATGTATTCTCCTTTCTTGAAAATAATTTCAGGTTAAGAGAAGAATTTTAGTTTATGAGTTCTAGTTATGAGATTTACTGATCACCACTCTGATTTCCATATAGGTAAAGGTAAAGGTACCCCTGCCCGTTCGGGCCAGTCTTGCCAGACTCTAGGGTTGTGCACTCATCTCACTCTATAGGCCGGGAGCCAGCGCTGTCCGCAGACACTTCCAGGTGACGTGGCCAGCGTGACAAGCTGCATCTGGCGAGCCAGCGCAGCACACGGAACGCCGTTTACCTTCCCGCTGGTAAGCGGTCCCTATTTATCTACTTGCACCCGGAGATGCTTTCGAACTGCTAGGTTGGTAGGCGCTGGGACCGAACGACAGGAGCGCACCCAGCCGCGGGGATTCGAACCGCCGACCATGTGATCGGCAAGTCCTAGGCGCTGAGGTTTTACCCACAGCGCCACCTGCGTCCCTGATTTCCATATACAGTATGCTTTAATCTGGGTTAGACAGAATAGCCTACATTAGTAACATATGGAGACAATGAGGCTAATAGATGTAATATGCAGAGGGGGCATAAGACTGGGGACAGAGGCAAGTAGTATGCTAAGTGTCTGTCCCACTATGAGGCAAATCAGCAAAAACAAGCAGTGGGTTTGATGAGTAAACACAAATAGGGCCTCACTTTGCAGCAAGTTGGTTCTGATTCAAGAAATCAATTAAACAATTAGAATTTACAATCAACGCCCCATGGCTTCAACTTTCTGGAAATTTTACACCTCTGTACCTTAGTTACATCCATTAATTTCAGTAGGTCCATTCTGAGTAAAATTTAGTTGAATACAATCTATATGATACAACCCTATTCCCCATTGTACTTTGTGGCCCTTACTTCTGAGTAGAAATGTATAGGATTGAACTTTTAGACTTAAAAGCATATATCTTAAGACTGGAACATCACCAATCCTAGCTTTGTTGTTTCTCCTCAGTTGCAAAGGAAGGGGATTAGAGTGGGTACATGCAGGTGAAATTATAAGTGAGCACAATATGTGAGACTGTACAACTTGTTTACAACCTGAATGGATTTGTATGTGCCTTAATGATATTGAAACCTAAATCCCCCCCCGAACTCTTGTGAGTTTTCATCATTGATGTTTTGTCTCTCCACCAAGCTCAAAGCCCTATCCTGATAACACCTTCCAAAGTGGAAGCAAGTGAACAGCCAAATAATTCAAATATCTTTATCTCAATGTGGAGCTCTCCCTAGTCACACCACAGGCATTAGAAATTCTTTGACTAGCACCTATAGTCTCTACATCATAAATTGTGCTATGACCCTTCAAGAAGCAGGTTAGCTGTTTCTTCATGATGTACCATATCCTTGCAGATTTGATCATCCTCAACTATGGAGCATTTGCAATGTTGCCATAACACTCAGAACTCAATAGCTCAGTAGCTCAATAACCTGACTTTGTGTTAAAGATCAGCAGCTTGATTCAGCAACCACTGAGACTGGAACATTATATTCCCACTGCAGTTAATAGACTACTTTTAAGCATGAGTATCAGCTCAGTCCTGTGACCAGAACATAAATGCTTATGATGGTGCATATCAACATCTGCATATCATTGCAAAACATTATGTTCTGTCAGAGTTACAACATTATTGTGCTGGCTTCATAGGCAATTACGCACCAATGTTTAGCACCTGAATTCCAGTAAGTTTTCTGGCATATTTAAGTTTCTGGAGTTAGTTGAAAACCACTGCAACCACACATAGAGCTAGCACCACATTCAGATAAACTGGCCAAACAGCTCTTTACAACAAGAAAGGCTGAAGACTATATCACCCAGCTGACACTACCACTTAGCTGACAAGATGCAAGTTATGTGAAACCTGAACCTACAACCAATTAGAACGAAGCAAACTGTGTGAATGAACCCCTTGGCTATCATATCCCTTAGTAGGTTAATAGAATCCTGAGTATGGGATTAATGCAAAAAGTCACCTTGATTCTTTTGTTTTTCCTTTGTTCTAATCTAGCATTTCATTATTCTTACCCTCTAAAATTCAATAAAGCCTCAAGGTCTATGTGCCAGATCAGAACTTATTTAAATACCACCTTCAGTGTTTTTCAGACCTTCCAAATATCAAAGCAAGTGTTGAATTAAACATTCCTGAAAGGGAATGCTTCAAAGTACTGTTTAATATGTTTAGGGTTGCCCTATCTATCAGATTGGCTAATCTAACTAAATCTAGCAGGATAGGGGGAGAAATCCACTTGGTGCCATGAACTACTGGAGAACACTTTCCCCTTTCTGACTACTAAGCTTGCTGTTTAATTATACAAATATTTGTGGGTTTGGCTACGGTGAGTACTAATTTGTTATTCTAGCAAAAAGCTTCAAATTGTTTGGAGCGTGCTGGGAAAATAGTCACTGCCTTTACGCGCATGACACGCTAAGCTCAAGAAAAACCACTGTGCTACTGAGGGACCTTACAAGTAGGTGCTTGTAAAGAAAATAAGTTAAATTCCCAGTAGTATGCTGAAAATCACAGCTTGCAAAGACCTGCCTAGTGGGCACTGAGCAAACATGCTCACTTGCATATTGTTTTTCAAGTTGTCACTAGTTAACATTTCTTATTTTTCCAGTAAATGATGTTCATAACGTATGTATTTTTCTTACCTTTAATAGAAGAACGTGGATCTAGTTCCTTGACATCTGCTGTTGATAGTGTCGTAGTTGATATGTCTTCAGTCTAAACCAGAGTCGGGGAACCTCTTGTCTTCCAGATAGTTTTGGACTATAACTCCAATCATTGTTATGCGTTGTTTAGAAGTGCAGTGCAATGTTGAAACTCATAAGTTTGCACCAAGCAGAGGTAGGTCTGGCAGGCAACAGCCATGCAGAGCCTAACTTGTCTCTCTTGACTTTGGCTATCTGCCTCACAACTATATTTTGATCAGTGCTAGAGACAAATCTGAGCAACTGCTAATTCTTTTTACTTTAACATGTGAAGGAACAACTATTGTAGCTACCACTAAATAGGCCCTTCTTAATTTGCCTTGTCAGTGGTTACCACAGCAACAGCTATAGAGATGTTAACAAGTGAAGACCTGAGAGGATGTGTTTCACCTGGCACCAAAAATGTGTAAATGGAGGCACCTGGGAGAGAGAGGAGAGCATTTTGCAGGTGGAGGGACCTCTGAAAACAACCTTTCTCCCTCACCACAATTTGGAACAATATACTGTAGTTGTGCAATTGCCCTTGATATGCCAGCATCGCTCCCGTGCTTTCTTCGCCAAAAAGCAAGTAGCTAATTCACTTGATGTCCAATTTCTTTGAGATGTGTCCTGCATTATTGAGATTCAATTTCATGTTGGGCAACTGGGATTGGGCTCTGGTATGTTCAGGGCAGGACTTTGGGATAGAGGACCAGGGCCCCATGCCACAGAATGAGCAGGACAGACCCCAAATGCAGCAGAGCCAGCTCACAAACTTAAAATCTAAAATGACCTCACTTGCACCACTGATTGGGCTCAGTTCCGCCACAGTGATATGACAATGGAGGTGGGGAATCCATAGGCCACAATGGCATCTATGAGGGACACAATGCTAGAGCCCCAAAACAGTGTGTGCTGTTTTCAGCCCATCGGCTCCACATTCCCTAACACAATGTAGAAAGGAAACCAGTGGGCAACTTCATAAAATGGAGGGCGGGGGGGACGGACTGCTATTATTATTATTTGTTGAATTTATATACCACCCTATACCCGGAGGTCTCAGGGTGGTTCACAGAACAAAATCAAAATATAAAACCACAAAGTATATAGTCAAAATAAAAACAACAACCCAATAACACCTCCCCCCCCCACAAAACCACATTTTAAAAGGGCATAGGATGTCAATCAAATCAACCAAAGGATTTATTATTTCACAAGAGGGGGAGAAAAGGAGCAATATGGGTAATTCAAATAGATTTACGGTGAGTCCCTAAACTAAAGTAAAAAAGTGGGGGGAGGAATGTGTGTTGTAATTTATTTATCTATAGAGTCTCTCAGAGCTGTCTCTGGCTACACAGTCCTGGGCTGGGGCGCAGCTTGTAGGCCTCAGTCTCTGTTGCTCCCTGACTGTGGAGTTGCTACTGTTAAATTAACACTATATTTGGGGGGGGGGATTGCTGTCATATCCTGTTCGTGGTTCTTTTTATTCACTCTCTCTATAGTTTCTTTTTCTCCCCCTGGAGCTTCAGCTACCCCCTCCCTGAAGCTCTTCAACCAATTTACCTCAGGATTTCCTCAGAACTCCCTCGCAATCTCCTCAGAAACCACCTTTCAGCTCCCTACCACAACCTAAGTGCACCCCACACACACACACACAAAGGATGCTCTCCGGGCCTCCCACTGGATGTTGCACTTTTACAAGACAGCACGTTATTCCGCCGGGTTTGGACATTTTGATTCTTCCTTCTTTCACCTGCTCCCTTTCCTCTATTGGAATCTGTTCTGAGGGAGAGTTGAATGGACATTGTGGTAGGTGTCTTCACAGGCGAAGGCACGAAAAGTGTCAGAGACTCCCTTCTGCCAATGAGGATCTTTTGATTTCTGCCAAATCCCACCCCCAGCTGCAGCCCCCTGTGCCACAACCCATAGAGTCCCTCCAGGAAGTCCCCTAACCCATAGGAGTGCTTTTCAAGGCACACAGGACTGTAGTGGAAACAAGATGCAATGCCTCCTTGTGTGAGAGCAACTCCACTCACAGCTTTCTGCATACTATTGAACAGCTGGGTGATGAACTGGGGAGTCCAGTATAAATGGAAAGTATTTGGGATGGGGGATTCCCCCATTCCCTGGAACCCGCTTTCGGTTTCGTCATCCCGCAGACCTGGCCCGGAACCAGTTTTGCTTGTGAGGATTTATGAGGCCATTTTCCCAAAGTCTCTTAAGCACTTTTTTGAGCTAATTTACTCTCCCCCACTCACTCCCCACCCTATAAACCCATCATCAAATTCTTCAGTGGTGCTTGCTGCTTCTAATTTGCTTATTTTGATGAACAGAAAAATGCAAAACAGCCAGCAGCTTCTCATTTGCCCAAAAAGGAAAGCAGAGGAAGTCTGTACAACAAACACACAGGAAGGGTGGCTAATGATATAGGAGCATCACATACGCGGCAATATGGGAGCATTCTTCTCTTGATGCATGAGAGACTTTAGCACGTGCATTGGATTAATGGATGGGAGACAAAGAAAAGGGCCTTGAATTAACCACAAAAGCAATCTATGGATGGCAAGTATCTCTATAAAGTGAATATATAGCATATTAATCATAAAGCAAGCAGCTGAATGCATGTAAATTAGAAAAAAAGGCTTGTATATAGGATACAGGGCATGCAGAGTATGTCAAAGGATGCCTGAATTTCTGCGGGATTTGCATACAGAGGGTGAAAAATATTGCTTTTTTTTAAAAAAAACAAAGTAGTTCAAATAAGCAGGTCTTTATAGTAATTTAAAGTAGAATGGAAACCAATTTTTGATCATATACACGATGATAAAGAATATCGCAATATGCTTTGTCTTGATTCCAGTCTTCTGACCTTAATCATAAAGAATATGTTTTATTCCCAGATGTTATTACCATTGTTCTATTGGGATGGGGGGGATATTTCACAAAATGTCTGTTTCACTCTGCTGTCCATAGCCTGCTATCATAGATATTTGTCTGAGCAAATCTCTCAAACATTCAGTTATGTTCTGCCTTCTCCAAGAAGTGGGAAGGTCGTCATCTACCATGTAAATTGCCTTTGTAAGAAAGGGCACTGGGACATTACCTTTGGAATAATCTGTTCTCTTACAAATGCACAGGTTGTCCAGGCGTTCTTGGAGCACAGAAGCTCTGCTAATCCTAAAGCAACATCAGACCAACACGCCAAAATTCCTGGCAAATTCAATAGCCAATAGAAAATTACTCTGTTTGACAGGATGCAAACAGAACGTGTACGGTGAGCATTCTTATGTCCATTTGTTTCTTTGACCTCTACTAGATTAGGGTGTTTTAAAACAGAATATTACGCTGTACAGCCTCTATCCAGAGTATATTGCCATTTTTCACATCCTCGTTCCATTTGGAAGCTATCAAACGTCTTTTTTTTAAAAAGTCCTTTGTTGTCATCGTCATTGTAAATACATTTTTTGTATTTTGCCAAAGTTTCTTTGCTTCACCCCACTGCCCACAGTCTGCCATCATGGCTACTGGTCTGGAACAAAGCTCTCAAACATACTGAAAACTGGCAAGAGGAACTATGCAAAGCAGAACAAAACAGTAAATCAGCCATTAAGCAGAGAGTGGGGGAAAACAAAATAATGTTGAAAATCTTGGGAGAATAATATTTACTTCAGGCAGACTCTTTCTTAAACTCATGAAGCTTCTTTATCTTAAGGGTTAGATGTGCAGGGTTTGGTTTATGAGAGACCTATGATTAAATCCTGGCTCAGCCATGAAACGCATTGTCTGGCCTTGAGTATATCTACAGTTGCCATATTTCAAAAAGTAAAATCCCTGACCCCCAAAGTTGCTGAGCTTTGGAGTTGTTTCCACTGTTTTTCCCATCGTGTTACATCTGGGTTTTCCCTGACATTTTGCCGATTCGGCAACATTCCCCCCAACGCCATTTTTACACCCCAAAAACAAGACATGTCAGGAATTTTCCTGATGTATGGCAAGCCTAGTATATCACTCTTTCCCCCAACCAGCTCAGAGGGTGGCTGCAATACAGTATAATATAAGGATTTATTGAAAGCCATGCATATCATTCTTAGTACAGCTGAAAAGAAGACTGCATTTATACTTAATGTCCAAGGGTGCAAGAAACCTAGGGATTGAATTATATAGAAGTTGTATTTCCCCCCATTATACCCCCTACTAGAAGCAACATTTTAAATCACTTGCCTTGTGTCAGATATTCATATTCACCCTAATCTTGAATTGTTCAGAATATGCTTAGATGGGCAAATGTATATTACATTCACTAATAACAGGCAAAACAGATAAACAGCCTTACACCTCACATTACATATTCAATTTCCCTAGGCATTCCATATCTTTAGAGACAACACCTATTGCTTATTAGATTTATCTGAGTGGGTCTGTCCTGCATTGGACATTCTGGCCTATTGGCTAAGACAGACTGTTGCTTTCGTAATGTTGAAACCTAAGAAGAATTGCATTTATAAATGTGGAACTGGAGCTGCCTCGGATTAATGGCCTTCCACAGCTGAGTTGGAGTTACTTGCCAGAAGTTTTCTTCTGGCCTGGAAGACTTCTGTTCTAGAACCATGACATGAAATTGGATCCAACTGATCATGATAAAAATTGTCCTTCCAACATTCCACTGACAATTCTTTAAAACATCAGAGCCTTTAATAAGTGGTGCGATCTGCACAGGTACAGCTCTACACCTACTCTAACTATAATCCATGCCAACTTGGGCCAGTGCAAAGCTGGAGAAGCAGGTGTGACTATTACTGCAATAAACGGATCTGGAGTCTAACCTTTCCTACACATGTACTGCCAATTTAATTAATGTCAGCTTATAAATATACTTTGCTTAATATATGTTCCCAGTATTGACTAATACGTACATTTATATTAATAAATCTTGCTGTCACAAGATGAACAATTTGTTTTATTATTTTCTGCATCTGCAAGATGATATCAGGTCACACTAGGTACTCATACTTTAGGGTTCAGGGTTACCATCCTGCCTGTTGTAATGATGGAGAGCTTTGTTCTTTAGGTATGACACCACAAAAGTGGGTGTCCCTGTTAGTCACTGATAACTTGCATCTTTATGTCCACATCTGTTATTATGATCAGGAGGACAAACCAGATCTTTCAAATTAATTTCATTCATTGGTTGCGCAGCATCCTTGGGTGGCATCTTCTGGAACGGCCAATTTGACTCCTCTCTGGCGCCTTCTAGAGGCATCAAAGTGCCATTTCATTGGTATGATGTCTGCTATCAATACAGTTGAACTTCTGAACCGTGAAGCTAAGAAGAGACTTCAGCGTGTTTTATATTATCTAGGATATAAGTGAGATATAGGACCTAAATCCACAGGTTTTTGGACTAGGTTTGTGGTGTCTGTGTACTCACCACATACTACCATTCCTATTTCTTTCTCCATGGATAGAAATAGAACTTCTCTACATAATAATTAGGTGCATTCAAGATGAAAATAACAAAAGGTCCTAAGGTAGCAGTGCAGACTGAGACAAGCTCGTCACTGACTTTGTGGCTTCTGCATAACATCAAGGCTGAGCTTATACAGCCCACTTCTATAGTTAACACCTGTGTAACGTTCAATAAACCAGTCCCACAAGTCTCATTTGGTATCTCCAAAGTGTCGTCTGTTACGTTCCTGTCAATGATGGAGCACATATTTCATTTAGAGGGGCAGGTTGAAGTGTTCATGAATGACAAATTAAGATTTACTCCTAACATCCCTGATGAGGTCTTGTTGCATTTTCGAGGTTTATAGATCTGTTTCACGGGAATGTTCTTGATAAAGTTGCATTTGTGGGTTGTTTATTCAATGAACAAAGTAATCCATTATGTATTTGTATCTGGTTTAGACATGAATTGAGATCAGGAACTTGTAAGAAATTATTCCTAATTTTTGCACAAGTCGGAACAAAACCTACCCACTCGGGGAGGAGAAATCTGTTTCGTATCAGACTGCACGGAATGTGGCCCTATGTACTTAAAAGGTTTCCAAACATAAATGTTTGACAGCTCATACAAAGGCAAGAAAATCTCTAGTAAAACTTAATAAAGATAAAATAAGATATAACCCACACATAGAGTTAACCAAACAATGTTGCTATTCCATATCTCTCTATCGCCCCAAAGTAATCTAACAAGTTTATAGACTTTCTAACAGCTTTCCTGCTCTATTTTCTACTTCAAGACTGAGATATAGTTATAGCCACTTAATTTTGTATGATTCACAAAGTGATATAAAAACTACTTAAGCCAGCATACAGGTGCTTTAATCAGAGAGATTCTTTTTGGCTTTGGTGAGGCTAAGCTAATTTAAGTCTGTACTTTCAGTGGTTTGTGAATCACATTGTATTCCAGATTCCTGTAAGGATCCATGACAGAAACTCTTCCACCACTGCTCTACCACCATTGCTCTATAATTTGGATTCTCTGTCTCACTTGCAAGGCTGGTGATCTTCTAACTGGTCTGGAGCAAGTTTGCTAAAGTAGCTGAGTAGCTGAATACCCACAAAAGCAGAGTAAAGAAACTGAGCAGAATCAGATGTTGTACCAGCCAGGAATTTTACAGCCATTCTTGGTGACCTATCCTTTCTTAGAACATTACCAAAGTCCTTGTAAGTGGAGCTCAGTGATGAGAATACATGCATAAATGCTTTCTGATCTGGACTTCCACTCAGACTTCTTCTTGCCAAGCCTATCTATAGATCAAGTCACACAAAAGGAACAGCCAGTTACAAATCATTTCAGTTCAGATTATCACAGGGCCTCACCCTGGACTATAATACGTGGCATTCCACATCTGCAACAAATGCCACACTTCTGAATATTCTCCATTACAACAGCCACCTTGGCTGGATCTAGACACATCAAAGAAATGTTTCCATTTAAAGCACTGTAAATTTAAACAGGGAAAACTGGTAGAGAAAAACGGGACACCACATCGCCATCTGGTGGCACAATGTTATATTGCATATACAAAGCATATAAATCCCCTTTTCTTTACCAGTCTAGCTGAGTCCCTTGACTCCAGTACCCTTCACGTCACAGCAGCAAAAGTATGTGGAAGCCAAGACATTTTGTTTTTGGATTTTAATATCTCTGTTATGTTGGTCTGATGTATACATATGCACACACACATTTAATATATCATGTATGAAAATATAGAGTTGCTCCATTGATTCCCACTGCTGACATTCTGGGCAAGTGGTGGGAAATGTGCCACCTTTGGATATGTTAATTGAAATGATCCCGGTTAAAGTTTCATTTCATGGATCAATAAAATCCTAGAGAAAGGTGTTTTGAAACAAGGCAATTATGAGCTGTCTTCTTATTGCACTGTATACACACATAAGAAATATTCACTATGTGAAACTTACATAGTTAAAGTAGTATTGTGACTTTCGCTTGACGCTGTCACATTAAAAGCAAACATAAGAACTGGGCTTTTAGGAGTTGCTGATTTGTTAATAGTTCACCTCTTGCTAAACAGCTTTTTCTGGGCATTGCAGCGGATTGAGGAAAACTGCAGTAGATTGTGGTTAAGAACTGGACCAATAGAGCAGAAAAGGTCCTTGATTATCATGTATTTGCTAACAAAATCTTCATAAAATGCCGGATTTTCAAGAACAGATTGTAAAACTCCTGCTTTCCCGACTTGGGAATACTGTAATGCACAAACCACAACACTGGACTTAGAGAGACTTTGTTTTGGAGCAAAATCAACCCAAAGATAAATCTTTCCCTTTCAGGAGCTAAGCTTCTGATCTGTATCTTGAGCTACTTGCTAAATTTGTTTTTGCTGCTAACAAAATTCTCTTTCTTACTCTTTCCTCTTCCAGAGAGTTGCCACATTCTGATGGTCGTGACATTTCTCCAGCCTAAATGAAGTACAGACATGACTGTTCAACTTTTATGTCCTTTAGAATGACGAGGTGTAAAACACAGGGTGGAAAGGTGAACTAACCAACCTGGCATTTGCTTGGCTTGTTCACCTTCAGCATTTTAACCTTGTGTCTTGACTGAGGAAATTTGTCCTTCTCTGATGGAATTATAGTGTGGCCAATATAAACACAATGGCCAGCACCAATTCCCAGATGTTTTCAGTGTGGATGCTTCATGCCAGCTGCTTGTTCAATCAGCTTCGACTGAACGCTGCCCTGTGGTAAACTCATTGTAGACAATCTTCTTTCCTGCAGTGAAGTGATGGTTTAACATCCTCCTAAATTATCCTCCCCCTCTCTTGCTCTGACTGTTGGAAGCAATGCTCAAAGATACTTGGAGACTGTAGTTTATGTGTGAAGCAGACAGATTGCATCTCTAACATCTAACACGCAATAACAACAATAAAGCAGCCTGACGTGTGTTTTTCTGTGTAAACAGTTTCTTCTGAACATGGAGCCAGTGAAATGTTTTGAGATGTTCGACTTTTATTACCGTATTTATCATCTCTTTTGTAACATTTCCTCATGGAGCCACATTTGTGTATTTTACATTGTCTGGAGAAATAAAAAGTGTTTAAACATAAAATACTGATATGATAGGCATTTTATGAGAGCCCCCGCCCCCGGCAGTTTGTGCACACGGACAAGTCGTGCTGGGACAATTTTTAAATGATGTGAGTAGGAGTTCTGTAAATATCTCTGTTCCAAAACTTAGTGGGAAAAGTGGGGCCTGGAGCTAAAATAACAGTGAGAGGGAAAGAATAGGCTGACTGATTATTGGTGCTTAAGAAAGCCAATAAAGAATTTGCAATTGTGATTTTTATTTTTAAGTGCAAACATGATCAGGTGGTCTCCCCAAGAAATGCATATGTCTAACACACATTGGCAAGTGATGACATATGACAGTAAACTTGCATTTCATTGGTACAGGATGTGGTATATCCAAAGTCCAGAAATCCTGCCATGAAGTCCTGTTTGTGACATGCATTTCCAAGGCATGAGATAGGTACAGACTGACAAAGATATTCAG